CAACAACTCCGGCGGCGATCCCCAGAAGATTACCGACTTAACCTACGAACAGCTCAAGAAATTTCATGCGGAGCATTACCACCCCAGTAATGCCAAGTTGATGACCTACGGAGACATGCCTTTGGCCGACCACCTTAAGGAGATCGATGCACAAATGAGCGCATTTGGGAGAATCCAGGCAGATATTGAACACAAACAGCCCCTCGACCTTAGCGACGGGCCCCGGACTGTGAAAGTTTTTGGGCCTGTCGATCCTTTGGCGGATCCCGACAAGCAGTATAAGACCTCCGTGTCATGGATTGCTGGAGATACAAGTGATGTTGTTGAATCCTTCTCTGTGGCACTCTTGTCGTCGCTTTTGATGGATGGATATGGTTCTCCCTTGTACAAAGGTCTGATCGAGAGTGGTCTTGGTACAGACTTCAGTCCTAATGCTGGTTATGATGGGTCGGCAGCTACCGGGATCTTCTCTGTCGGCTTGACAGGAGTGAATGAGTCCAACGTTGAAACGGTGAAGAGCGAAATCCAAAGGATACTCCAAGATGTCCGCGACAAAGGCTTTGACCGAGGCAAGATCGATGGATATCTCCACCAACTTGAATTAAGCTTGAAGCACAAGACAGCAAGTTTTGGGATGTCTGTGTTGCAACGTCTGAAGGGGAAGTGGTTTTCGGGCACTGATCCTTTTGACTCGTTAGCATGGAACGACACAGTTGCTGCATTTGAAGCGAAACTTGCGCAAGGTGGCTATCTTGAGAGTCTCATCGACAAGTACTTGATGAATGACAACACCCTCACGTTCACGATGGCGCCCTCAGAAAGCTACAGCACCGAATTAGCAAGAGAAGAAGAGGAACGGCTGGCATTGAAAATCGCCCAGGCTACAGAGGAGGCCGGTGGCGAAGAGGCAGCTCGAAAATTCTTCGAACAGCGAGAGCTTGAGCTCTTAGTAGAACAAAACAAGTCCAATACTCAGGATCTGAGCTGCCTTCCTTCCGTACATGTAAAGGATATCCCCAGAACAAAGGAGCCCGTCATAGTTCGTGACGAAATCCTGAACGGGACAAATATTCAATGGCGAGAGGCCCCAACCAATGGGCTTACTTACTTTCGAGCGATCAACACGTTCGAGAATTTGCCGGATGAACTTCGCGCCTTGATCCCTCTCTTTACCGATTCGATCATGCGCTTAGGTACCAAGGACATGACAATGGAACAACTCGAAGACTCGATAAAGCTGAAGACGGGTGGCGTATCTGTGAGCTATATGACCACGCCCTCGCCCACCGACTTTCATCAAGCGTCCGAAGGGCTCGTTTTAAGGGGAATGGCTCTTGATCGGAATGTGCCCGAAATGTTCAACCTTCTGCGAAAGCTTATTCTGGAGACAAATTTTGATAGCCCCGAAGCAGCACTCCGAATTAGGCAACTCCTCCAAGCTTCAGCTGATGGTATTGTGAATGATATCGCGTCATCTGGCCATGCCTACGCTCGAAGATACGCTGAATCTGGGCTTACTAGGGATGCATACCTTACCGAACAAGTTAGTGGGCTATCGCAGGTAAAGCTGATAACTTCGCTCGCTGGGCGGCCAGAGTCAGACCAGCTGGAAGATGTCATCAACAAGCTCAAGCAAATTCAAGCAATTGCTCTGGCTGGCAATAACATCCGTACTGCCTTAACATGTGGGCATGACAGCACGTCAGCTAATTCGTCAGCCCTAACACAGTTTATGTCTTCACGAGCAAGCCAGTCTACCACCTTCCCAGCTACCTCTAAGCAACCGACGGCTCGTGACATCAAGGCATTCTTTCCACTTCCCTACCAAGTTTATTATGGCAGTTTGGCCTTACCGACAGTTTCTTACACTTCTCCAGATGGCGCTCCACTTCAGATCCTGGCACAACTTCTGACTCACAAGCACCTGCATCACGAGATTCGTGAAAAGGGCGGTGCGTATGGAGGCGGTGCATATATGAAGGGGCTTGAGGGATTGTTCGGTTTCTATTCGTACCGAGACCCTAACCCTCAAAATACCCTCTCCATAATGAGGAATGCTGGGCGTTGGGCTGTTGATAAACAATGGTCCAACCAGGACCTTGAGGAAGCCAAGATATCCGTCTTTCAGGGCGTCGATGCTCCCAAGTCGGTGAACACCGAGGGTATGCTACGGTTCATGTCCGGAATTACGGACGAGATGCAGCAAAAGAGACGAGAGCAGCTTCTTGACGTGACAAAGGATCAAGTACAAGAAGTCGCACAGAAATACATCGTAGAAGCACTTGCTAAGCAGAGTGAACGAACTGCCTTTTTGGGCAAGAAGCAAGATTGGGTCGACAACTCCTGGACTGTGAGGGAGATCAATGTCGATGTCACCGAATAGAAGCATGCGGTAATGTTAACGAGGTAATTATGTACTAAAGATATGTACAACATAACAGCCATATACCCATCTCCGTATATACAGAACTTAATTGTACATTATTTACAGTTCTCTTCCTGTCATTTCTATGTTGATCTTTTCTTTCCTACGTTCAAATCCAGCGTTCGGATACGATACGTCTTCATGCTTTGTGATCTCTCACGAGATCACGCTTCCATAGCATCGAGACCACGCTAAAACGCGAGATCGAATTTATCAGCGGGTTTTCAGGGGTCCATCAACAGATTCCTGCGAACCGAGCTGCCAGCTCATTCTTTCAGACTCGGATTCCTCAGCTTTGGAACTCCGGACTAACGAATAGAGTATATGCATTTGCTTTCGAGTACAGGGAAATAATAATCAGGCCAAAAATCTCATTCTATCAAATACCGATCAAGAGAAAGTAACTAAAGTTAGGCAAGTACATATCCAAATGATGCACATCAGATCTCATAATCCTTGAAGGACTCAGCCAAGGTAATGAGGCCAGTCACACCCAAATCATCCTTCGTAAGAACCACATATCCCGGTGCCGACCAGCTCCTCTCTTTAAACTCGCCCCAGTACCTCCACATTCTAGCCAGAACATCCGCGTATTTCCCCCAGAGCGATTCCACCAGCTCAGCCGAAACCGGCACATGAAAGGCCCTTACTCCCTTGGTCTTTGCCCAAATCTGCAGAGACTCCTCTGACGTACGCAGCTCAGAGTATGCAAATACGACATTTCCCCTTGTCTTGTCTGGCTGCTCTAAAATGGGCTTGATAAACGGCGGTAGGTTGCGCGTCACGTCCCCGATCCAAAATATGGGGGTCTCGGGCGGATGCGAGGCAAAATGCACATACGCATTGGCCGACGGAATCGGATATATCGACACGGGACCGTACGAGTAGTTGCTGTGATACTGCGCAACACTGAGGAACGTCGTCTTCGCCGCGAGATCCGCATTAGCGCGGATGTAGTCGTCGACCTTATTCTTAGCAACGTGGTTGGGAAGATGATAGCGACCGTTGCTGATCTCGGAGGCGTGTTGAAGCGTGCTCCAGATAAAGTGCTGCAAACCGGACGTCTCTGCCGCAGCTTGCGCAATGTTCTTGCCCCATGCTTCTTCGATCTTCTCTACGGTCGGCAGATCGTGGTTCGCTAGGAGCTCGTTGATTCCCGTGACGCCAAACACGGCGTACGAGCCTGCGAATGCCGCCTTGAGAGATAACACGTTGTCGAGGTCGGCTTCGACAACCTCGATGCCTTGGTTCTTTAGCTCCTTTGCTGCTCGGCTCTCGAGATTGCGTGTCAGACCGCGTAGGCTGTAATTGGGATCACCGTTAAGGGCTGCTATGACTGCGCCTCCCTGGTTGCCCGTAACACCTACTACTGTGACAAGCTTGGGCATGATTTCGTTAGGAAGAGGAACCAGTGCACCTCAACTGAAATAGAATGATTATGGGATAGGAAGACAACTTCTCAGGCGCGTCTGTTGACTGATGATAGATACTTTTAGAACAAGCGGGCATTCCACTCATATATATATATATATCTATATATATATATATATGTATGCGATAGCATCTTGATACTATATTGCTCATGGCTGAAGCCCATCAAGGGGCAGAACTCGGAAGAATAATCAAATCTCATCGACGCACAATCATCAACCGCCATATTAATAATAGATGTTACATATGCGCCCTTCGATAACAACAGGTCGTCTTGCAACTCCTCATAAGGAGAACGCGAGTGGAATACGAATAGCCGCATTCAGTTTTCAATGTGACGTGGGATCCCTTTGAGTTTCTGACACTTAATAATCGCACTGCATCAAACTATATCTACTAAGTTTCTAATTCGACAGCTCTATGTCTTCTGCTTCTGCTTCCGCCTCCGCTTCCGCTTCCGGGATTATCAAGTAGGGACGTTCAAATCCCTAAAGTCGTGATCCCTAGCGAGAACATAGAACAACGTCGAGTGGCAATGAACTAGGTCAACATCGGACATAATACAAGGCGGGATATATGCCGTTTGAATCTTCGATGGCGTTAAGCTGCTAGCTTGGGAATGACTAAGCGGGCTTACTTACACCCGCCATGTGAATGTTAAAGGAACTCGTTTAGGTAAGTGGTGGCAGTCTGACAGATGATATAATGCGACATGTCCCGGACTTGAAGGACTCCTATCCCAATGTCCGTGGATGGAGCCCCAGACTCCATCCAATACACTGTTTTCTCTAAAATTTGCAACAGAGTATACGTGACAACTTAGTATTTAAAAAAGCTAGTGTACTAATAGCCCCTTACTTGCCCAGATAAGACTATAAGGTATACATACATACATCATACACGATCCAGTTAATTCATTAATTATATATATGCTCATTCTCAAGAAAAAAATTATGAAGCTCGCTTCCCCCATCTCGCCTAACTAACTAAGGCCTGAACAGCCCTCCATCCAGCCTGAAAGATTGTTAAGCAATAGCGGCAAGTCTATTCTACCTATGTTACCAACAATAATTAACCTCGTCATTTTCACCTGGTCGCTCTTTGTAATGACCAAAAGTAGAAAAAATGAAAATTAAAAGTTAATCTCCCCCGGACAGGCTTGAACTGTCAACCTCTCGATGAGCTGTTAATAACAGTCGAACGCGCTAGCCAATTGCGCCACGGAGGACTTGTTCATCTCAATTTTTAATTGTCTACATACCTCAAGAATCAAGTTCAGTAAGCATCAGACACCAGGAATTTGTTGTTAGCATTGTCCACGATTCAGCTGTCCATTCGAAGTGCCTCATAATACAGAAAGAACATAATATACAGAGTAAATAGCAGGTGGAGCAAACGTAACCTTCTAATATATAAATAAGTACCGTGGATCACCAAGCAAAAGCCTCCTCGATTAGGTCTACACTAAAACCGTCTTTCACGGAGCTCACAACTTGCTTCCTTGCCTCGTCGGCCATCTGACCTGGCCCGCAAACCAGCACCGTGGTCTGGCGCTCGACTTCAAGAGCCGACCTTATCACAGTCGCAATATGCATCCGCCCTGCCGTCACCTTCGAACCGTGGCTGCTGACGTCTTGAATTTCAGCTTTACTAGGCGACTCCGACTTTTCGGCGATCTCTTCCGAAGAACCGGTATGCCAGAATAAACACTCCACCCCTTGGGCATTAAAAAGGAAGTTTTTCTTCACGTGGTCGATAAATGCGATTTCCTTTGCAGACCAGGCAAGTATGAACCGCTTGGCTCTTCTCATCACACCACGAGTCTTTCCCGCAGCTTCGCCCTCCAGAGACATCCCGCTAGCATAATCTTGGACAAAGCTAAGGGCATATGTAATGCCCAGGCCACCGACAAGACATAACACCGTATCAGCAGTGTACAACGGTTGGAGGGTAGCGTGATGGCCCGCGTAACAACCCTCTGTGTAAACGGATACTTCCACTCTCGAGACCGTAGAAGGTGAAGAGAGGTAACGTTGGAGTGCGGCAGTCATCCCAGAATGAGCCCTAATGAGAAGTTGGAATGAGACGTCGCTGTATTTCCGCGATTCGCGACACACTGGTTCGAGGTGTGGTGTTGCTATTGATTTCTTTTGGCCAGTATATTCCGTAGCTGGCGATAAAGCACCCGACTCCTTCCCCGTAAAATAGACGTCGTTGCCATCAGAGTTGGAAAGAGAAGAAGAGGCGAGCTGCACCGACGAGCGACGCGTCTTCCACGCCGCGATGCTGAATGGGTGGCTTTCCCAGAACTTGCCAAGCCCAGGGAAGTAGACAAAAGTATGCTGCCCTGGACCGATTCCGCTGATGACTCGTGGAAATACGGTAACTTGCAAGATGTTGCAGCCCGGGATCGCCTCGATAATGGCTTTCGCGTCTCCCAAACGGTTATAATACACGATCCGAGCCACTCTAGCGAGTCTATCGGCGGACCAAAACGCAAAACAGATATAGAGCCAAACTTGGTAGCCAAACTGCAGTAATGAGAGCGTGTTAGCTGGAATCCAGGCTTCTTGCAGTTTCGCTCAGACCACGAATTAAGGGGATAGAACCTAGTACGATGAAAATTGCACGGCGCAAAGCAGGGAAAGTTCTAGCACACACCTCGAACCCAAAATGAGGAACCAAATGGTACCAACACGCGACCAGAGCGAGAATAATAAGGATGATGTGAATTGTTAGGAACAATTCATAGACGGTAATACGAAGAGGTAAGATGGCGAAAGCTGTCGCTAGACTCAAGGCGATAGTCCCTATAATCCCCCACCACTACGTCAAATAATCAGTAAGATCCAGGGTAAAGTTTCAAAGGCGAGTTGTATCATTGGATATCTAGTACCAGATAGAATTCAGAAAATTTATGAGAGTCACGAGAAACTTACATAAAATGGCTCTGCCGCTTTCTCAGCATAGCTTGTTGCTCCATCATATCCCGGATCGACGTATTGCAGTGTATACGCCGCAGAATGCACGATAGCCTGCAACGTGGCAACTCTCGCCGCCCATCGATGTAGGGTCAGGAAAGTCGTTTGGCTCCATCCAGTTATAGCGATGAGAATATTGTTTCTTCCGGCAAATAAGATAGCGATGCTCAGATTTACGAGGCTGAGGATACCAGTTCGGTTGCCAACGTATTCGCAGAGTTCGAATTGCTGCGAGGGCCAATAGATGTTCGGTTGGAAACTGCCGAATGAAATAGAAGATAATACGATGTTTAGAACAATATAAATGCTAATAGAGATGCCGAGTGCTCTGCCTGGCACGTAGCCCAAATTTGCGGGAAGAGGTTCGAGATGTCGAGATCCAAACAAAGCAGGGAGAGCTATGTACTGTCGAAGTTTCGATCCAAAGGTTGAATCTTGCAACTGTCGGTTGACTCTAGGGAAAATGCTTGCAAGCTGGATCCTAACTCCCCAAACCAGACAGATACCAATGACAATTAGGTAGAGGATAATCCTATAAGCGTTCTTTGTTAGCTTGATCTCTGAAGACTATTGTAACTACATAGAAGTTAAAAGAGAGAAAACTTACGAGTATCTCGTATGGATGTACTCCGATCTCGCAAATTCATCCAGTGTTCCGTGAGTCGCATGATACAGGTCATGATTTACTAGGCTGGTATTATTGAGCCACATTGCGTGTTCCGAGAGCTCGACAGTGGGCGCCGTAGCAGGCAGACTGTCGAGGAAAGTCGGTTCCGAAGCGCTAGCAACAGCATGAACACTGAAGCATCTCGCTTGTCTTTCCACTGTATATCCATGGGGAGTACAGGCTTGTTTTATACAGTATGCCATTGTCTGCAGCCATGGCATATTGGAAGTTCGACACTCTTCACTTGTTGTCCCCATCATATCCATATCCATGTCCATGTCCATTGCCTTGCTCCCATGCATGCCCGACATATCACCATGCTCGGGGAAGGTCGTGCAGCTCAAGTATAAGGAAGAGAGCGAGTCATGACATGCTAGACAACACGAGTCCTGGTATAAGGACAAGCCGAATCCGATGATGCCATTATCAGCTCCGCTGACATCTCGAATCAGCAACAGAAGCGAAAGACTGAGAAGCGCAAACGACGAGATCATGGTTTATACGCCGCAAGCTAAATTAAAAATAGTCAAGAGAATGAAGATGCGGCCTTCGACATGAGATTATGAAACCCTACGTCGACCTGCTAATGAATATGCAGAGAGGGCTTTAAGATACTAAAACAGGCGTAGAATGAAGTACATAGAAGATAAAGAACAAGAAAGGAAACTTCCCATAGTCGACCAGTCGTAGTCATTATAGAAGCTCGTGCCCAAACAAACCCGGCCTCGTCATTGTTAGCTGTTACTCCACAAGTTCGCACTTAGTCACCATCATATTTATCTCTACGTTTAAGAGCATAATGAAAATCTTTATGTTATATAGATGAGCCAAGATGAGACAACCTATGTTTCTTGGTTACCTGGTGTCTTGGAGACGTTTCCTACAAGAAATGGTCGGACGCATGAGAGAGCCGGGATACCAAGCCGTAACAATCGAATGTAGACCTGGGGGACTGAATCCGATTACTGAAGTAAGTAACACGCTGTAATTTCATGTCTATTGTCCGAAACATTATTTTTGTACCCAGCTATTGAATACGACGTGTTTCAATCAATCCGGGGCAAGATATATTTCTTGGTGGTCGGACCGAAGAGGGGATGAGAGGGATTGAGCTAGTTTTCATCGGCGGATGTATACACGGCTAAAAGAAAGTAATGTCGCGAACAATTCGCGCCACACCGCAGCCAATCATCGAATAACCTATTGGGAACACTCCGGCGCCGTCAGATCCGGACACCATAATATGCGCCGTTTACTACTATTAGCAGCTGTGCGCGGAACCTGCCTCCGTATGCTTTCTGCGAACTGGAATCGACATCCTGTAAAATATTCGACAGCATTATCACGTGTTCAGTTCGGTAGATATTATCTCTCAGCTTCACTGGTATTCTTGAACAAGATCCACTTTATGTTTGATAAGATTATAAGCTGTCAAACCTCGAGGTGTGTAGTGAGGTACTTACAAATTATAATGACGATCGGGATTAACTCCAACGCACGTATTGTGTCAAGAACAGCAGTGAAGCAACACGTTAGCGTATAATATGCTACACCAGTTCTCAATTTCTACATTTAAAACTAAATAAATGTAATTGAGAGGGACAACTGGTGTCAATACCTGTCTTCATATGTTTATAAACAAGGGGAGCAGACCGGCTAAATTTAGACACATTGTCATTTCTCCCCACTTACGTTAACGTTCTATCATTGGCATACGAACAATTTATAAGACATACATGCTACACGTTCCTTGAACTTTAAGTCCTTAGTAATGCATAGATATCAATCTACTGTTACTTACATTGACCCTATCAGCAACAGAAGTAACTACGTAGATACGGACAAGCCATAATCCACAACCCAGCGACGGCAACGATACCAAACCCCTGTAACACGGCCCAAACCCTCGGCATCCTCAGCCACGGAAACCCTGGCCCTTTACAACTTACCCCCCAAGCGCCGACGCCAGCAAAAATAGATGAAGGCAACCACAAAGGCATAAGTAGCTTGACGTACTTGGAGATCAGAAGGGGCCGGGGTAAAAAGACCGAACCGAGGTGGCATTGCTGAAGCATCAGGAGTTAATTGTCGTTTTCTTAAGTATCGTTCTGATATAAAATGGGCCTAGAAGAGAAATCTTGATCTCTAGAAGTTGCTGAAATAAGAACTAAACGAGGTTAGGGAGTACTCACACAGGTTGGATTGTAAGTGAAGACCGTAGAAATAAGGAAATGGCTACATTGACTACCCTAATCGATCACGGCCCTGGGGGGTCGCCGAAAGACCTAGGCAAGCAATTTCTGGACAGTGATAACTCCCCCACCGCATGCGATAGTAATAATGAGCTCAGTTCCATTGTTCGCTATGGGAGTTGTGAACTACGAAGTGGACAGATAATAAAGGATAGTTTTGAGTTCTATTAGTGCCAGCCTAGTCTTTAGTCAGCCCTTTCTATCTCCAAGTGGCAGTCCGAGAATAACTTACCAAACAACTTGTTGCCTCAAATGTAAGGGAGAATATGTATAAGTTTGTTACATGTTTTCTCTCATGAAATATACGACAGTTTTAGAGAGTTATGTG